GGCATCTTATGTGATCGGGATAGAAATCTTTCGCGATAGATCACAAGGATTGTTAAGTTTGTCTCAAAAAGGATATATCAATAAGATCTTAGAGAGATATAGAATGGAAAAATGCTCTGCAGGAATAGCTCCAATTCAGAAGGGGGATAAGTTCAGTAAAATGCAATGTCCTAAGAATGAATTGGAGCGTAAAGAAATGTAAAGAATTCCCTATGCATCGGTGGTTGGGAGTTTGAACTATGTTCAGACATGTACTCGACCCGATATCAGCTTTGCTGTAGGAATGTTGGGTCGATATCAAAGTAACCCTGGAATGGACCACTGGAAAGCTGCAAAGAAGGTTCTCAGGTACTTGCAAGGCACCAAAGAGAACATGCTTACATATAGGAGATCCGATCAGCTAGAAGTCATCGGATATTCAGATTCGGACTATGCTGGATGATAGCAGAAAATCGACGTTTGGTTACCTGTTCCTATTAGCTGAGGGAGCAATATCATGGAAGAGTGGAAAGCAGTCTGTCATTGCTACTTCCACTATGGAGGCTGAATTTGTGGCATGCTTTGAGGCCACAATTAATGCATTATGGCTGCGGAACTTTATCTCAGGGCTTCGGATTGTCGACACTATAGCCAAGCCGCTGAGAATTTACTGCGATAATTCCGCAGCTGTCTTCTTTTCAAAGAACGACAAGTACTCGAAGGGTGCTAAGCACATGGAGTTAAAGTACTTGTCTGTTAAAGAAGAAGTTCAGAAACGGAGAGTGTCATTTGAGCACATAAGGACGGACATGATGGTAGCGGATCCGCTAACTAAAGGTTTACCACCCAAGGCGTTCAATGGTCATGTAGAGCGTATGGGTATTATAGATAAGACTTTGCTATTTTAGTTGTGGGATGCTCATTATGTATTTGGCACAAAGAATTCACATAAAGTTATGTTTCTGATTTATTAACTATGTTATCATTAAAGTATATGTATACATTTATGGTTTGGAGATAACATATGGTTGGTTTGAGAAATAAGGTTCTTCTCATATTTAAGGATTAAAAAAAAAAAATTGGAATTGATTTGTGATACATGGAAGGGACTATGTCGTTTAATGGCATACAACCGCCATGATTCGATCAATTAAAATTTTAGTAAAGATCAAGTGAACTTAATATAAGAGTGCACATTAAAGTTATTAAATCCTTAAGTCGACACAAAGGTCAAGTGGGAGAATGTAAGAATATTTTATATTCTATGTGACCTATGTATCTATTGGTTTAATATAAAATTCAAGTTCATATTAATGGTTACAGATTCTAATATAAAAGATAATACCGTGATGGATCGGTTTTGATTAATGATTTAGAATATGGGTGTATTGATAACCCTCCTACTTTACCTTATATTTATAAATGTCTTTAATCTCTTGATCATATATATATGTTAAAGGAAATGATAATGGAATACATTATCATTATTAATGTATATGTGAGTGTATACGTGTAGTACGAAGAGTTGTGATTTGGTCTTAAAGAGTTGTGTTGGTTAAAACACACATCTCTTTGATTAATATAAAAGTGTCTCTCGTA